GCCAATAATTTCAGCGATCTGACACCACATCTTGACTCCGAATGGTTAAACAAAATCCATAGAAAAGTACCCTAATTTCATGACAGCTAGGAGTTGTCCTGATCATTTATGTTCATTTTTGACCAAAATAATGCGTCACATGTCGTTTGGAGCAGCGTCACATTGAGCTGCACTCATTGACATTATTACTGAGTAATTTCGGAAGGTGACAAATAGCGTGTAAATCCAAGTTATTTGCATTAAAATACGACTAGATCGTAAGGAACGGTGTTTTTATCACATCTCATTCAGGTTATTTAAAATCATAAATCATGAGCAGTAATTCTGTTCAAGCAAATCGTTTAGAGTATCCTAAAAAATGTAAACAACATTGTTATTTCAGGTTAAAAGCAAATAATTCTTATGAAAGAATAAAGACGTATGGTGTTGTAATCTTAGTTTAATTACGATAGTAATATGAATATGAATTTGAAACTTCTCAGCACGGCTGCTCAATGGAAATAAATTATGTTTATGAGCATTACACAAAACTTTTCACACTGTTCATTGAATTGAAAAGTAATTGAGATGATTTACTGATTTTGTAAGTTCACATAAATTTATTTATATGACATTATAACAGTTGTATTATAATGCGATTTAATTTAAGGGAAATATTTCGATAAATAACACTGTATTTAAGATGGTGATGGAATGTAATCAACAGGAAACCCTGGACTCAGGTTTCATGCTCCTTGGCATTTGTCAGCAAGCTGTACCTGTAATCTTGAGGGAACTGATGCTTTCTTACTTCCCCGTCAGAGACATTACAACTGAGCTATCCGATCCACGGCTGACCTTCTGTAGGACTGAGATGTATTTATAATTGCAACTTGGTCGATAGGATTCGATCTGCACTGAGAAGGACCTGACATACATAACATTGATTACCATCCAGTGATCAATCAATTATAAACACTGTATTTCTTGTTTTTTTTTCTGATTTTCTAATTCATCCCACAAGGATGTATTCAACAGTTATGATTTGCTATGCTTTTTTATTTAGAAAGAAAAATAACCTATAATGACCAAATAATCCATACTATTAAGGAGAATAGTGATGAATTTAGATAAAATCTATTTAGTTTAAAAGCGTAACATGTCAATCATTTAGACAATCACATGATTAAGAAATAATTTCTAACAAAAAATATTATACTGGTAAAGTAAAAAGAGACTTTCTTTATGAAAATGTCTTTATAAATTATTCACATGAAACCAATCAAATCACACTGAACGGAGAAGCTCTGGAGGATGTAAAAGCCTTTACATATCTAGGCAGCATCATTGATGAGGACGGCGGGTCTGATGCAGATATGACGGCGCGGACCGACAAATCATGAGAAGCATATCTACAATTGAAGGATATCTGGAAATATAAACAACTTTCAACCAACACCAAAGTCTGAATCTTCAATAAAAAAGTCAAGACAGTTCTGCTGTATGGGGTGGAAACTTGAAGAACTACGAGAGCCATCATCCAGAAGATACGAGTGTTTATTAACAGTTATCTACGCAAAATACTTCAGATCCGTTGAACAGACACTATCAGCTACAACTTTTTATGGAAGAGAACAAGCCACATTCCAATGGGGGAAGAAATCAAGAAGAAGCGCTGGAAATGGATAGGACAACCACTGAGGAAAGCACCCAACTGCGTCACAAAGCTAGCCCTCACATAGAATCCTCAAGACCAAAGGAAAAGAAGAAAACTAAAGAATACTTTACACCGAGAAACGGAGACAGATATGAGAAGAATGAACAACAATTGGATAGAACTAGAAAGGAAAACCCAGGACAGAGTGGATTGGATAATACCGGTCGGCGGCCTATGCTCTGTTGGGGGTAACAGGAGTAAGTATGATGGCTAGAAGTCTTTGAATTATAGTACGAACTAAGAATCCCAGAAATAACGTAATCGGAACAAGAAGTACTAGATAAGTACGAACGAATGTACTGTATTTAGAATTTGAAATCAAGCATTCAATAAGTACAAAAGAATCGTTGGTTTATTCAAACACCATAGTAAGTAAGGAAGTAATTATTCACTATTGTGAATGTGAAATATTAGCTATAAGTTTGTTGGTTTTATAATTTCACAGATTAATAAATTAAATTTCGCCATGAAGTCAAACTAATCAAGTATGGAAATTTCGGAATTACAATTGTTTGTGTATGTATTACCTTGCAAGTAAATTTTGAATGATTTTTTACACTATGAGGCAACACACAATTGAATTAAAATTCTTAAGAATAAACGTGAATAGTGATTCATATTGGTATACTTTCATATCCAATGTGAATAGATTAACCGACCACTGAATTTAACGAATTATAATGCTAGGATTCCGTTTTAATGTTTGACTTTCAAAGTGATTCCTTTTTATTATAGTAATACCATAGATGTCTGACTGTTGCTCCAGTGCTCTTTATCAACTAATTAATCTAAGTACTTGATCATTCAGGTTAACAATCGGTAAAGTTTCATCAGACATAAATAACGCCGAATAGAGGAATTATTCTCATTTCATGTTTCCTACTAAATGAAAAGATTGAAAACTTCGTAATTCGCTCCACTTTATTTCAATTAATGAAATTTTAGTACCAGTTGAATTGACTTATTTTAAAACAAATGAAAAGACTATTTATTTCTGCTTAAATTAATGATTACAAACATGATTTAATGCAAAACAATTTTTGGATGAGTTCCATTCTAGTTTCTCGGAATGTATCATTATTTCGGCAGATATTATTTATAAATAAATATAACGGCATTTACAAGTCTATTAGGGATATAAATCTTTCGGTTAGTGCTCATCCTGAACAGTAACAGAGATCAACGTTATTTTACTAAATAAATAAACAATTGTTTGATTCAGTAAGGTTATTTTAATATGATAAGCTGCACTGATTCCTTATAAAGTCTTTAAATGTGTATATGACTTAAATAACCATCAACACATCATATTTGTGTATTAATATAAATTCCAAGTGAAATTACCGAGGTTGTATCACAAAGAGGATAGTGACTTGAGTGAATACAAATTTCTAATTATATTTTTATTGGTCTATATATTCACTACAAAATTTTTCATTAAAAATATCGATTGAATGGACTCAAACTCTAAGTTAATTACGTTTGCTGATAAATTCTGTAAAAGTTATTTACAAAAGCAATTCTGTGTTTTGTTTAGAAAATGGATGATAACTCTGACTGAAGGACAGTGTTGTGGTCGGTATTCAATATAACCCTTAGAAGTCGTATAGAGTTTGACCTGATAACCGTCACTTGATAACACCCCAACGGTGTATTAATCAGAAGGCAAATACAAAGTGTTGATTACGTTTATTATGGGACCATACACGGATATCCAATTTACAGGTACGTTAAGCAAGCATGAAAGAGTAGTATCGAAAAGCTAGCAGGCAAGTGAGCGAGCGAGTCAGCAAATACAAGTACGAGTAAGTGAGTGCAATGAACATGGATAAAATGTATATATATATATATATATATATATATATATATATATATATATATATATATATATATATATATAGTTCTCTTTATCGTATGAAGAGAGCAGAGATTTGAGTAGGATATCTTGAATTCGTTTTATTTATCTTGATTCTCATCAGCTACATACAAACTGTAATGTTCGAAAATAGTAATTACGAAATGGGTTCAAATAACTTACATGAAAGAATTTAGGTGAAAGTTACTTTGAATAATTTTTCTGATACTTAAAAAAATCTAAGTACAGAAGTAGATTCATATTACAAAAGAGTTAAATGTAATCCTATCAATTTCTTAGTAGCTACAAGGTTCTATTTTAATATTACTACGTGTTAATAAATGTTGTTGTTGACCAGCGCCTTGGTATTTTAATACTCAAAAAAATGCATTTCATACACACCATTACAGAATAACTTGGTGAAATCCGTGAATCATACAATTTGTACTTCATTTGTAAAATATTCATCAATTGTCTTAGACTTTATTGTTACTTCTCTTCCACAGCATTCATTCTTTGTTCTTGTTCTATTCTCTTAAATTTTCCCAACCTTTGATCGTCAAGCATTCAACTTTCGATTGGTGTTACACAGTACTTATATCTGTCAACATACCAAAGTACTATTTGTAAAATTAGGAATACAATTAAAATTTCAACAATAATAATTAAACAACGAAAGAGTAATCTTTTTTAAAATATGATTAGTTAATTTTATGATCATTTATAAGAATCCTATTAATACATGCCTATCTAAATCAAATAAAAAAACTGTACTATAAGTGATGAATTTATTTTAATGGAAAATTAAAATGCCATAGATACTTATTACATCAGCATTTTGTCTAAGATTGATGTACACACAAATAATCACTAATAACACACATTTAAAATATATCATGCAAATAAAAATGGATAATGGTTAGCAATGAAATTCAGGATGTACGTTTCGTCCTATTTGGACCTCGTCAACTGAATATATCTGCATCACAGAATTGATATTCAGTCCTGAACTCAAATCCAGTACCGTTCATTTCAAACGCCATGGCACTATCCATATCAAATCTGTAATATAAGTACATCCAGCTGACGAGTCGTAAATAAGATAAAATGCGCATCATACATTCCACTATTAACCACCATCCATCTTTACTTATCATATTTGTCATTGAAAACAATGTTGAACTAATTCGCACAGTACACACATATATTAATAGGTGACTGTTCAATGAGGAGATTCAAATAAAACAATATCAAATGAATGCATTATGCAAATAATTTAAACTAGCCAATCAGAACAAATCGAATTCTAATCAACCAATCAAATAACTCCTTTTCTTATTTATTAAATTATTTTTTTTAAAAAGTAAAAAAAATTATTTTTTTTAAAAATAAAATTTATTTTAAACATTAATAAAATTTCATAGTTTCCATGTTAATTATTTTTAAATAATGAATATGACATTAGATAATTATAATTCAACTGAATTTATTCAATCATCATCTATAATTAAACAATCAAATAATCATCCTATAGATACAAATAATATAGATAATGTATTCAATATAACATCATGTATAATAATCACATTTATGTTTTCATTAATTGTTATATTTTCAATATTTGGTAATATATTAGTTATGTGGATTATATTAAATAATCGTAGAATGCGTACAATAACAAATTGTTTTTTATTTAATTTATCAGCAGCTGATTTATTAACAATATTTCAAATTATACCAAATGTTTATTATGTATTACAAAATGATTGGATATTTGGTATTGCTTATTGTAAATTTTCACAATTTTTTACATCATTTAATATAGCTATTAGTGTATTTACATTTATTGCAATTTCATCGGATAGGTAAGCTTTTTTTAGTAGTAACATTATTGACTTTCTTTAAACAAAAGTTGAAATCACGAATAGATTTATGTTACATAATCATTAAAATCTGTTAGTATTAGAGAACTCTTTAGTTTTGGTGTGGGATCCTTTTAGAAGTGTACGTTTACGAATATGCAACTTAAAATTGAATGTAAGACATTCGGTTTGGTTTATGGAACATTTAACATCTGGATAACTGAGCTAAGATCCAATGATGTGCAGCGGACATTGTAGACATCAGATATATATATATATATATAAAATTATGAACTACTTCCTAATTTTTTTTCGTAGGCGATGATTGATAGTGGCTTGCAGTGGAATCCAGGACGCGCGTTTCGTCCTATTGGGGACTCGTCAGCTGGATGTACCTGCATCTCGGAGAGTTGGTGTTCACTCTGAAACTCGAACCCAGTAACATTCACTTCAAATCCCATCACATTATCCACTGATCAGTTGTAGTCTTTAACCTCAATGGGAAGATACAAGCCAAACAATAACAAGTGAATTTGACTTCACTCCATTGCACAAGCTAGTGGTTATCAGGACTCAGTAGCTGAGTGGATAACGCGATAACGTTTGAAGCGGATGGTACCGGATTCGAGTCCCAAAGTGAACATCAACTCTGAAATGCAGATGCATTCAGCTGACGAGTCCCAAATAGGACGAAACGCACGTTGTGGAGTCCACTGCTAGCCACCATCCATCATTGCTTACAAAAAGCTTGTGAATTAAGGCAATATCGAGACGATGCGCACATTATGCACATATTCCGATAACAGACTGATCAATTGCAGTCTTAAAACTCAGTGGGAAGGTATAAGGCAAACAATATCAAGTGAAAATTACTTTCTGGTTTGTCATGAAAATAACATTTAGTATATACATTGATAAAAAATTACAAAATCACTTAGAGTTTGTGACGCTTTTAAATGTTATGCATTCAGTGTTATACTTCTAACTCAGCACTTTTAAAAAGCATTTTATCTACAACCATACCTTCTTATCTTATTGTCAATTATAAGTGTAAACGACAACAAAACTGAAAATATTATATTATGAATTGATTACTTCCCAGCTTAAATAATGTAATCGAGATCAGATTTTTTATAAGAATTAAGAGGAGTGTTGATAATGAAATCCTGAATTGTTGTAGAAATATCTATTTTTCTCCCTTAGTTATTTATTTGAGTGGTTTACTTAATAAAGTGTATGAGCAAATCTTGTTTATTACTCTTTACTGAGATATTTTTCTTTATCAAAAACTAGAAGAAGAAATATTTCTAATTTAATTTTCAAGTGTTATTCTACTCTAGATAATGTTGCTAACGGTAATGATTATTCAATCTCTCTTTTGATATACATGTATTTTGTGTAGATTTCCTCTATATTAGGTACAACAGAGTGTTTGAAGTGAAAGATACTGGGTTTGAGTAGATGTGTCAACATTATTATTGGGATCTACGTAGAACGAAATACGAGTCCTTGACTCCAATGCCAGTACTATCCAACTATAATTAAAATATTAGAAATATTTCCTCTCAATGTAGTAAAATTAATATCTATATGAAAGTTATTCTGAAATGTTAATGAGTTCACAAAATAAAATAATCATTGATTTTCTTTTTAATAAACTGTATTACTTCTGAATTCACTTAGTAATGTTTTACTTGAATCTTCTCATTGATGTTTAGAACTGCAAATGATTAGTCTCTTATTGACATATTGTACATATTGTATGTGTTGCCTCAATATTGCCTTAATTTACTCATACGACGAAACGCCCGTCCTGGATTTCACTGCTACCCATTATCCAACTTTTTTTATGATTGTATTACTTTTAATTCTTATCAAACATAACAAATAAAACATCATAATCTAACGTAATCATACAAGATGCATTAACTTAAAGGGTATTGTGAATAAGATTTATTTGAAACAACTTTGTCACAAGGAAGAAAAGAACTGTCAGTTTGTTGAAGGAAGGAAAAATGTAAAAATTCAAACATCACTAAGCAATAAATAAAAAATAAGATGAACCCATAAATGAAGTGTATTTTGTTAGACATTACTCATAACTAATACTTACTACTGAACTTTTCTTAAATGATTAATAATTCGCTTTTGTATCAACGAAATATCAGGAGATGTCTTTCACATATCGATCGAAAAATGTCAAGGTAAAGAAATTTATCCACCTTTGCACAAAAGATCTATTTTACTAAGTAATAACTTGATTAAAACAAGGTTCCTTGACTTAAGAGTTTGAAGGTATCAAGAGCATTATAAAACATGACAACTGTTACTATAACCTTGAGTTATTTGATACCAGTATACTCCTGAAGAGTACCATATTGCGATAATATTGTTACGTAATATTTTATGGTATTCAATAAAATTCTGGCAATTAATAATATAAGATGAAAAATACATTTTAAGCTCAAACAGATCTATTATTCTCTCTTATAGTTACATATGACATTCGACGAATATGATTACTATCTTAATAGGACTAAGTTACAATATTTATTATCTAAAATTCAAAAAAATGTAAGAAAAAAAATTTACATTCGAGTAAACTAAGAATTAATTTCGGTAGGGTTTTTGTGGATATTATAGTTATTTCAATGGTTGAGATCATGAAGTTTGGCGCTCGCGTGCGAGACTGATAGGTCCTGGGTTCGAATCTCGTGAGGCGTGATCGTAGATGTGAACTGCCGAGGAGTCCCACAATAAGACGAGACGGCTGTCCAGCGCTTACAGCTTTTCTATGGTAGTCTAGCTTCAATTGACCCTTAAGAATTAATCATAAAATCGAATTTCAATAATTCAGTTGTATTTCGGAAATAGTTTATAATACACTTTATATATACATGAGGGATTGAATCAGAGTTCTATTTTATTACTAACAATTATTGTACATTTATAGTTATTTTGTAAGTGATAATATTTCAATTAAATAAATTAGTTGTAAAGTAATAATGCCATTAGTTCAACATAGTTTAGATTTCAATAGTTAAATTCATGAGATAATTAAAGGTAGACCACCATAGAAAACTTGTAAGCACTGGACGACCGTTTCGTCCTAGTATGAGACTCATCACTAAATATTTATCGTCATGGTCGATCAAAAAAAAAGAAACAGAAACTCGCTGAAATACTTTGTGCTGAGAATTCTATACTGTACTAAAAATATAATATTGAATAATGCTAATAATAAATAAATAAGTAAATATTAGCTAACTAACAATTATTTCCAGCATAAATTTATTATTTTCGAAACACGGACAACTGTAAACATAATACGTCGAATATACTTGAAAAACTTACAAATAAGCAAACGATAATAATAATGCACAAATGCATCAGATATACTATGAGATAATTATATGATTTTATTTAAAATCATCTGATTAACATCATTGATGTCTAATATATTTTGACTGCTTACTGAAAATGACAGTATTGATACAGTAAACATAGTCATTTTAAACATTCTACTTCAATTGCTGATATCGTGGTGTGTGCTACTGATGTCGATAGATATAAGTAATATAAAATGCTTGGAGGCAGTAGGTTAATAACATCGAAGAAAAGAGAAGGAGAATACAGAATGATTTTTGTAGAAATGAAGGAACAATAAAGTCTGAGACGATTGATTGATATTTTGCAGATTTTACTGTGAGATTCTGTTATTTTATGTTCAAATACATTAGATTATCCCCATTTGTATTCTCGTTCACTACAAAATCCTTATGAATAACTATGCAGACCATAAAATAATTTTTATGAAATTAAAATTTCTTTTTAGAAAGCTTGTTTTATAGTTACGTATTTTTCATCGGTTGTATTTCACAAGCGACTATTTTGTCAGAATAATCATACAATCATATTTTCATGAATGCCAACTCAATTGTGCAGTTTAAATGAATGGTAAAGTAGGAATAACATTTTGATATCAAAATATTTCTCACAATTACCGTTTGCTTTTTTCTCTACACTTTACAAATAAATACAAAAATGTATTTGCAATATGAATCTATATTTTCATAGAACTAAACTACATCTTCAAGATGAAAAACGTTTTATTTTGTTACCAAGCTTATATGGAGTAAGAAATCAATAATTAGAGGAGTATAAAACATCTCATCTAAAGTTTGATGTCTGGTATAATAAAGAATATTTGATCAATTATATAATTGAATCACTGAATCACTAAACCAATCAGTTAGAGGTCGTTTTCATACAAACTAGTTCTAAATAACATTGTTACTATTGTCTGGCATTATGATCATTAATATGAATAAGATTTTTCGAAGTTTTAGTTGCTTCGTCTCTGTGTAATTATCATTGATAAATTAGTACTGAAAAATTCTAAAGTAAAAATTCTTTGTTAGCGTATTTCTTTAATAATAATATTAAACTGTTGAGCTTCATGTTTCCAAGATAGAATAAGAAGTTTAAAAACTGTTCAATACTTAACCAGTTCTAGCTAGACCATTATTAAGAACCTAGGAAAACTGGACAACCATTTCTTATTATTATGAACCATCTCAGGAGTGCACATTGACTACTCCACGATTGTGAATGGAATTCAGGACATTTTGTTTTATGTACAAATGATTAACGTTTATAGCACTGAAACTGGATCCAATGATTTGTATATTTATATTATTGTTGGTTTCTATTTATAAACTGTTGAACATCCAGATGAAAACATTGTCCCAGATGATTTTTCCACATTTCATTTTTTGTCGTTTTTGTTAAACGAGACAGCGAGTATTTTCCTTTAAAAATCCTACACATTTAAACATCTATATAACAGTTGTTCAATCGTTTTTTTAAAATTATGCTGGGTTGTTAATCTAGTGTCAAATACAAAACCGTTCATGGATATCTATCTAAATAAATGATTGAATACTTAACTGTAAACAACATTTTTGCATGAAGTTTAAGGATCCCCCTTATATATTCAAGCT